GACTCCCTTTAGTTAAGGTCCAGTCCTTTGTCCATACGTGGGTCTTTCCCCATCAGCCTCAAAAAATCAACCCTATCCTAATAGTATACACCAAGTATCCAAACACCTACCATGTCAAAATAAATAAATAAACAAACAAACAAACCAAAGAAAGAAAGTTGTTTTCATCCTTCACAGACAGTAGCTTGTAAGACTAGAGAAAATGTTTCCCTACTTTTCTTTTTGTTTGCCTTTGTGGCCACCTTGGATTTTTCTCACTTCCCTACGATAGACAGAACTTCAACACTGTCCTGAAGGAAATGATGACAGGTAGGTCAGCTGCTCTTTTATAACCTAGAAACATTCTATGTAAACTTTGTTTTATGTATGTAAGAAAACCTACATTATATCCATAAAATGAATAAACTCTTATCTGGAGCTTGGGTTATGAATCTGTATAACTGAAGAGATATGGATTAAAATGTGATAAACAAAAAGTTTCACAACCTCAGCCCTACTGACATTTTCAGTCAGATAATTCTTTGTTTATTATAGCTGCATCCCTGGCCTCTATCCACTAGATGTTTATAACGCAGGTGCAAGCACACACAAACATACCCTAGTTGGAACTATCAAAAATGTCTCCAAACATTGTCAAATGTATCCTGGGAGCCAAATCTTCCCTGGGTAAGGGCTACAGCTTGCAAAATGGGTCATTTTATCTCTCTACCAATGGAAATATGTATTTTTCATGCATACAGGTTTTTTAAGTTTTAGAATGTATTAATATCATCTCTTGTAATGAAAAGAATTTTGTTTGCAATGCCAGTGGCAAAGTAGAGAAAAGCTATGTGACAAGCAAAATCATATTCTGAAATAGGTAACATAAAGAACACTAAAAACACAGATACATTCAGCAAAGATAAAAATATAAACATAGTATATGCATGCATTGACCCTTAAATTATGAATATTTTCCCTATTTTTAAAATAACTTCAGATAACCCTCAGCAGAGTTTGGAACTGAAACTATCCAAAAATTTTACTCCAAACTAGTTATACATTTGGGAAAAAATATTTACCATACTATATATTTGGATACAATATCACCATAATAACTTTATAATTCAGTACCATTGTTTAAGAAAAAATGCTGGCAGGCTGCCTGTACTAACAATATTAAAATGTTGAATATATGTGTTTCTGTGAAGGTTAACAGACAATTTCCATTGTATCCAAAAAAGGAATGAGAAAAACTGGTGAAGTTAGAACCTACTATCATAACAATGTTAATACCGGATACCAGATCCCTATTACCTTGACATTTACTTGGTAATGTGAATGATAATTATTCAGGAGGAAAATAAAGCTAAAATATATTTTGAGGCTTTGTAACCATTCTGATTAGATTTGCATTTGTGCCCACCTGCTGGAAATTACTTCAAATTTAAGTTACTCAAACAAAATTCTTTTTCATGTACATATAATAGTTTCATTGAAAAAAAGCTATAGCTGCATTTTACTTTTTATTCCATTTTAGATATATATGACTGGACTGAATATATTTAAGTGTAATTGAATAACCAAAGGATAAAAACATTCTTTTCTACCTCAGATAGTTCAATCTGTCATTGCAATAAAAAAAATGAATTCACAATTAAAAAAAATAGGTTAATGGAATAGAAATTTGTCTTCCTGCTTTCTGCTGCCCTCTCTCCTCCAGCCCACTGTGCCAGAAGACATTTCAAGTGCAATTCCCCTGAAAGCTGTAGATTTAATAGGCTAATGGGTGGTTACTACTCTTGTTACCAGGATGATTCTATTCCACCTCTATCTAGAAAAATCTTTTTGTTGGTGCTTCTACACAATTACCTGCCATTAAAGTGTATGTGTTGTGGTGGTGGCGGGGGGGGGGGGAATCCAGTGACACACAGTCACTAGAAGAACAAGCTGGACTGATTTCTGTAACAATTTCCCAAGTATTCCTTCCCATTTTCAGAATTAAAAATCAGACAAAAATGTTTCTCTATAGTTTTGATGAAAAAATGAGCAATAAATTGTGAAATGCTAAGCCAAATGAACTCATTACTGTGTTACAAAATAATTTAACACACACCAATATATTAGCTGTGCAATCAAAAATATAGTGATATCACAATATATACAAACCCAATTGGCTTATGCTAATAAGTAATAAAACATAAAAGATGCCAAAGCATTGGGGTCTTTGAAGAAAAGCCAAATACCTTCACCACTCCCCAGAAATACCATTTCCTCAACCCTTCTGACACACACACACACACACACATATATATATATGTATATATATATATATATATATATATATATATATATATATATATATATATATAAATTCCCTAAGCACAAAGAAATCCAGAATTTATTTTTATTCTTTTATGAAGTTAGTTAAAAATTAATGAACAAGAAATTAAAGTGAAGGTGCTGTAATAAAGTTAGAATATTCTAACTGGAAAACAATTACAATGAAACTATTTACACTCCCATGGAATTATAGACATTTTTCAAGGGATATTTTGCAATACAATTTTTTAAACAATGTTTTCTTCTTCTTACTCTTGAGACTTAAACACTGAAGGTTTACTTCATTTTTTTAAAAATACACTTATTAAAGTAAGATTTGACTTTCCCAGAAAAAGAGCTTTACCATTTAAAGTAGCATGTCGACTGCTTAGATTTTTCTTCCAATACATCTAGGCCTCCTCTTTCAACTAAGAGGATAAGTTTTCAATAATATGAAATTGACAGAAAATTGTGTTGGAATGGTAGTAGTATTTAATTCTGGGAACTGAACCAGTGAGACTTCACAGATACATAGATCTTTGTACAGAACTGGAAAAATATCAAAAGTTTGTCCATGGGCTCCATGCTTTTCTATTTTTACAGTTCTTATCACCTTCGCCTCAAAATTAAATTAAAACTTCACAGAAATGAAAGCAGTAAGTTTCAATTCTTATCCAGAAAGAATTTTTTTTTAATTAAAAAAAGTTACTTTCCTAGTTGTAGATACTTAAATAAACAAAAACTCTTAACTGTGAAATAACTTTAGGGGCTTCCCTACAAAAAATCCCCTCTGTAGCGGCTGGCTCAGACTTGACAAACTCGCTGAATTGTGCAGATGTTGAAGTGGCTCTGGGTTACACTGGGGAAGAAAGAAGCACCAGACATTCCACAGCTGCCTCCAAGAGCTCCCTTCCCAGGGGCACAGTTGCAGACTCTATCAAGCTCAATCACTTTGTACAGCAACTGGGGATCCCAGCCAGGGGCAAAGAAATCCCAGAGCAGCTTAAATTTCCCCCAGTACCACAGCAAGAAGTAACACTACTTAGAGTAACCAGTTATTTCCAACAATTATGTGACCTTAGGCCAAAAAAGAATGAGAAACAACAGCTGTTGTTAGAGAAGATGTTTCATAGTTTTATATTTCAAGCTACTTACAGGAGATCTTCCTAGGGTCTTTATTATGGAAAAAAAACTATGAATAGTTGATCTTTATTCTTGATGGATTTTTTTTTTCTTCAGGTAGTAGGGAGACAATAGTCAAGTTGAAGAATCATAGAATTGTACAGTTAATTCAATAATTATAATACAGTGACCATAGGGCTTTAAAGGGATGGAATGCATATGGCATTAATATCATTTCAAAGGTACTACACTCTTCCGTTTTACCTATCTCATGAGTTCTCTCAAATATTTTGAAGACTAAAATAACTATTAATGAAATGGTCTGACTAAAAATAAACAGCCAAAGAATATTCTTTGCTACATAAGGTAACTGATGCCATGGCAGATGTCATTTCCTTAGCATGACCAGAAAGGGAGAGCTATAATGAAAAGCTCCACCAAATATAGAAATATTCAAGCACTGTGCTAAATTACACTTACGCCTCCCAATGATATTATCCCCATTTTATAGATGAAGAAATTAACTTATAAGATCATTGAACCAATAAATGATACAGCCCAGAATTTAATTTTTTTTACTCTAAAGTCCATGATCTTGTTATTAGGATTTTACTGACTTTGTTGCAATGCCACTTGTACATTAATTCAGAACATCTTCAGTAATTTTCAAATCAATTTAAAAGGTGTATATCATGTCATTCAATTGTTCTAGTCAAGAGAAAAATAGCTTCTCTACATGAGATATTAGTTAAATCTCACCTTTTGCTTATGATTCCTTTTTCTTCTCTATTACTGACTTTTTAATGGTCAGAAAAAGGCATTTCAACTTAGAGGGTTAATGCTAATAAATTCCCCAAATGTTGTTATATCCTAATAATCCTAAATTTCAGATGCCTATCTTTTCTGTTTTAGGTTGATTCTCAAAATTGTAAGTGGATTAGCCAGTAGGTCATTCTGTGTCACACAACAGATACTGAGGCATCTGAACACTACACCAGGCCTGAGAATTTACAGTAAGAAACCTTTCATTTCATATTGATGCTAAAAATATCAGTAAAGAAGACTTCAAGCCTCAAAAGGCCTGTGTTTATAGCTCATCAGCATTCCTCCAAAACAATGGGACACACTACAGCAAGGAGGAAGAGGAGACAGAAGTTGATGACATATGGGGTGTGCATGGAACTTCTGGTTAATGGAAGTTCCAAGATGTATAAATAAAAAATGATGTGTGAGTTGGTGGAAAAAACTGTAAGGCAAGTCAATTTTTTAATTAAAAAATTATGTAGCATAAACAATGCTAATGAGCCAAAAGTCCTAAGAGATTAGGACTATATCTGCTTCATTTTAATGTTCCATTCACTTTTTGTAAGCGAACATCCACTCGCTTGAAATACCTCAAGCAGAACCCTTTATGTAAAATAGGGTTTTGAAGATTTTCTTTGTCCTTGTTCCTAATAGCTCACCATTTTCTACTCAAGTGTCAACTTGATGACAAATTACACACACACACACACACACACACACGCACGCATGTGCAAAAAGAGCCCAAATATCTTAAATGAATCACCAGATAATACCTGGAAGTTCCTCATAAATTTCATCGTCTACTGGCTGCCCACTTGTTGGTGGGTTGCTGATTGGTAGAGGATGCTCAACGTCATCATATAATTCTCCTTTTTCATCATAGTCCTCAGGAATAATATCAGATTCCATATCTAAAAAATGTTTCACGAAGCAAATTTTAAAGGGATGCAAAAGAGGCTTTATAAATTAAATTTCCTAAATAAACACAATCCTAAAAAGTGACAGTAATATTTTATGCATACTCTTCTTCATTTAAAACATTTTTCAAGTTGATCATTTTGTACATATGTGATTTTAAAGTTGCCAACTGGCACTTATGGAAAAGATGCTTTTATATATCTAAAGCAAATAGTCTATATATTAAACCAGTCATGTTCCCTTTATCATTCTCATTGAAGTCAATAAGCTTTTGTATATGAAAACCAAAACTACTCAGTTTTTTAGTATTTTAAGACCAGGATTACATGTTCAATTGATGCTCTTACCTTGTAATACAAATTTCAGCTGCTGCACCCATTCCTCAGCATCTTTGGGAGAAGCTGCTGTAAACTAATAAAAGAACCAACAATAAGAACACAAATCACCACCGTAGAAATGAAAAGTATGTCGCATTCTTATCATTTCTTTAAGACCATTAGTGATTCTTTTCATGTCTAGTGGTACTTTTCTTGCAAGGATGCTTCTTATAATGCACAGTTAATTTTGACAAATTTACGCAAATGAAGCAGAGGATGATGGATTTGAAACTCTGATCAGCAGCTGGCAGCTGTGCAGGAAAAAAAGCTGCTTCTCTTCATCAATGTCAAAGACTGAACTGATGAACAGAATTTGCCCTTGACAATTAGAAGACACCCATGAATTTCTTTAGACTGCTGGGTATAGTTTTCTTAAAAATGCTCTTGTCAGATTCCCAACACACTATCTGACAATTAACTGGCTTTCAACTGCAATCTCAGATATTTAAAACTTATTAAACATACATTCCATATTGATGCCTAGCTGATAGCTCTTGAATTGCAGACCTGATACGTGTCTTTATCTTCATTTTCTCCCACACCCCTAAGCAATACAATATGCATTACCATTCTAATATTTTTCCTTTGATAATTTCACTCTTTCTGCTATGTAATTCTTTTAGGAAATCATACAGCTCTATTAAAATAGATATAAAATGCTACATGTAAAGCAATTGATAAATTATATATTCACTTCCTCCTTTTCAAGAAGATATCACTTGAAGTAATCTGAATTTTTTTAAATGTATTTTCTCTTATATGAATGTCCAATGTACAAAAACCAGTATTTTTTTTATTATTACTAACATGTCAGTGAGCGCTGTTTTAACAAACTGTTAATGTCTCTATAAATGAAACTAGAACATCTTATCAACTTAATTTCAAGGCAACACAAAAACTCCAACCTGATACATCCGTTTATCAGGAGCAGAGATTTCAAAGCAACAATCTTTCTTTGCATCCTTCCTAAGAGTGTTATTCATTCTGACCTCATAGCCATCTATTGCAAATTCACATTTCTGTTGTTTGTCTGTTGAAGATAAAATCACAGTTAGAATTTCACTTACTACAGCAAATATAAATGTTCAGTCAATTTTCTTTTATATAGATTTTCTTTGTCAACTCTTAGAAAAGAGTAATTTTGGTCATATTGTTTTAGTAATGTAATGCTTAAATAACATTTCTACATATCATTTTTAATTCTAAAATACAGATATACTGGAGACAATTGCATCTAAAAAGGATATCTATGGGAACCAGAGATTGTGGTCTTGTTCATGAAGTGTGGATATAAGACCCTTGTATATAGGGAATATATAAGAACTAGAACTTAGAACTTGCTAGACAAACCCACTACCAACTCTGGCTCTTTCAGATTTAGAAAGTCAATGGAAAACTTGTCTAGTTGAAACTTTCTGGGTTTCATTAACCATTACCTCCTGTTACCAACCCCTTCCCACCATCATCATCAAAACAAAATATATTTTCTTAAAAAACAAAACTTGGTACAAATGTAGCTCTAAATATTAAATGCAAAGCAAAGCAAAACTAATTACAAAAAAGCTATAATGTGAAAACAAAATACTTGGCTGGAGAAGGGTGGAAAAGTTTATAACTCATAACAAAAATTGAGATTTATTAACCAGTCAATGCTAAACTAGTAGAAGCACAATTGAATCTAATGATAAATATTGAAAGAAAAGATGGTTGGAACTTTGGTCAGATATTATTTTAAAGACAAAATAGAAATGCAACAAAGAGTTTAGTACTCTAAAAATGAGAATAAAATTAGCTTTCCTACCTTACTTGGTTATGTCATTTTGATAGAAAAGCTGTATAGTTCTAGGTTATTTCTCAGATAAACACATGGTACTCAAAATATGAGTAGGGGACAAACTGTCTATTGTACTAGGCTCTGAGAAAATAGAGAATGATCTCATAACATGGGTAAAGGGGTCTCTCAGTTCAGTGCATCAAAGATGGAAATATATATGTGTGTGTGTGTGTGTGTGTGTATCTCCTTTCCTTAAATAAACTAATTTAATTCCTGAAGTAACATGTATTTTAAAAGATCATAAAGAGCCTATCATATTCAAACTATTGAATAAAAAGAAATATGATTTAGAAATTCTTGACTTAAATCTGGACAATCTAATTATATTTAGTCATAATTTATATATCTGAAAGACTAAAAAAATTCAATTCAAAAATTTGAAGTTTGTCTACAATTAACTCTTAGAAGTTCACAAACTATACTTTTAAATTATAGCATTTCTTGAAGTGCATATTGATATGTTTCTATGATCAGGAAAGTTTGGGGAGATTTTTGCTGAATTAAACAAAGTTAAAAAGTTTTGTGGGGGGTGAGTTCAGATTAGATCAACATGTCCTATTTGGGATCTTTAGTAGATTTACATACTGACTGAATTTCTAAGAAAAATGTTTAGTATGCATCATTTCCAAAAATCATTCATCTATGGAACCCTTTTTAACAGAATATTTTATGGATCCAGTATGCCCAAAGTCTACTCTGCAAAATATTTAACCAGAGAACATTGAGGGGAAAATATTAAAATCATAAATTGTTAAGAATGGTTGGTTCTAAAATTCTCTTTTAAAAAACTAACTAAAGCATTCATTCTCTCATTCAACAAATTTATAGTAAGCACTTTAAACAAGCCAGGTAGCATTATAACACTTTATCAGACATTTCTTACCTTCCCACTGAAATAGACACACACACACACACACACACACACACTCAATCAATCTCTCTCTCTCTCTCTCTCTCTCTCTCTCTCTCTCTCAACAAACAGTCAATGATCCACTAGACTGCAAAAGAAATTTAATTTCCATTACAAAAATGAAAATAATCTGAGGTAATATATCAAAACCATCCAGGACAATTTTGAAAGATTCCTTTATGCCCACCCCACCCCACCCCACTCCACCAAGAAAACATGTTTTCAAGGAGCAGATATGGAGCAAGTCACTCTCCCCTCTGCCACACAAAGGTTCCATCTCTTCAGTTGCTAGGTCCATCTGATCTAAAGCCTGTGCTTTTTTCCTCTACTTTAGGTCTAAAATTCTTATCAGTGTAACACATGAAAGTGGAAATGCATAAGGAGTGGTAGTCTACATTTGGATACGTAAAGCTGAGTTTAGAAAAGCCACGGGGAACAGGAGACCTTCCTGCACTAGATTTTTAGGAAGCAATAAGATCAGGTGACCCTGATTTATACTAGCAGATACACCTTATACAAAATTCCCAGGAACACATTATAGAGCCATGCAGCAGATCTTCCATTAAAGTCTAAGAGGAGAACCAGAGAGAAACCATGAATGCTATTTATTATAAACATTACAGATTATACAGACAGGCCATTGTCCCAGGATAGGTAAAAGAAGAAAAGCAAACTAGCAGACAGGTGTCAGAAAGATATAATACAAAAAAATGTAAGATTTTGAGATGTAGAAATTATAAATAAAGTAGGAGAATCAAAGTAAACTTTAGCCATTGTTTAACATGTTTGTTTCTTTTGGGGGTTTTTTGTTTGTTTTTTATTTTACAGTACAAGGCATTTTGACATACTGACACAAATGGAGCACAATTCTCATTCCTCTGGCTGTACATGGTGCAGAGTCACTCCAGTAGTGTAATCACACATGTATATAGGGTAATAATGTCTGTCTCATTCTACTGTCCTTCCCATCCCAATAGCCCTAACCCTCCCCTCACTTGCTTTACATCTTTTATAAAAGAAAAAATTCACATACAAGTTACAAAAGAGATAAAAGATGAAGTGACATAACATAAATAAAAAGGGCTGAGACAGGTAGAGATTGAAGTGAAGTCGGCAAAGCAAGGGAAAAACTATATAAAGGAACTGGAAAATGCAGTAGATAAATAAATGATGTATTAGAAGTGGAGTGATAAAAAGTAAAATTGACATTGCTGAAAACCAGATCATGTATACCTTGAAAAGCTCACTTAGCCTATAGGAAAACAAGTAAAAGAGGATAGGGAGAAAAGGTAATACGATAGACATGGAGGACTGACAAAAATACAACATAAGGAAAAAGAGTGTTCTGGAAGATGAGTAACAAAACAGTGCCAATAATCAGACGTAACAGAAGAAAACTTCATTCTGCCAAAGACAGACCCAAGTCTGCAGAACAAAAGATGATGTTGTTTAACCAAGTGAAAGTAATAAAAAAGAAACTAATACTTAAACCTACTTGCTTGATTGGGGATAAAGAATCACATGAACAGCCAAGTGGGGTAGGGTGTGGGACCAGAAATGTTAAACAGAAGGAAATTCCTAACTCTTCCTCAATAGATTTGTAAAAGCATATTCATAAAGTAGCTTAGAGAGTCAAGGGTCCTATGTTTTTTCTCATATGTGTAAGGTAGAGAGGAAAAAGGAAAAGAAAAATGGGGGAGGGAATCTCATTAAAATAGAAGGGAGATCAGTAGAGTAGAAGAAAGGGACCAGGAATAGGCAGGAAGGGAGTGAAAGGGGAAGTACTGGGGAATGAGATTGGCCAAATTATACTGTTATAGCATATGCATGTATGAATACAAAGCAAAAAATCCTACCATTATGTATAATTATATTGCACCAATAAAACTATGAAAAAAGCATACAGTATGCAAATGTGAAAAAATAAAAATTAAAAAAAAATAAAGTAGCCATATTTCCCATTAGTCAACATGGTACAAGAAGTCCAAGGCATAAAATGGGAGACATGGCTATAATAAGACCTGCTCTTCTCCCTCACATCAGCTTCACTTCTGGGCAGAGAAAATTTCAACATTATATGATTATCCACAAAAATTTATATATACAGGTTAGTTCCAAGGGATTTTCTGAGATGGTTTCAAGAACATCTGTTGATTTGACACAGATTGTTAAAACCAGTTAAATTCCAACTGAATAGGAAACAAGGTTCCTATCTAGGTTCATTTACCTATAACTGTGAAAGACTAATAAAATAATTTATCTTAGTGAACTTCACACACAGCAGAAGCTTATTCCCTTAAGTGCCAAAACTTTTAAAAGTTTTAGTCATTGTGATGGAAATCTCTCTAAAATATATACTTCCTTAACTTCTCAAAATATGTGTTTTAAATGTAATTCAATGTTTCCTTGACAATCTAGCAGTTTCATTTTGAGTATTAGTTTTTATAGTATGCTATAACACACTGATGTCTGCCAGATGTTTGAGCTGTTGGCCCCCCTATTAAATTTTCCTTGGCTTCTACTTCACATTTCAACTTTGCCTCTATCCTATTGCTCAAGCTCAATGTCTACAGAGCTGGAGGCTGCCAGGAGAAACTAGGATGAAATCCATTACGTCAGTAACTTAATTTTACACAATTCTAATTCAGTATGTTCCAAGGTAAAACCAGTTGGCTCCAATCTCCTCCAAAACATAATACACGAGGCTAATGACAAAAGATTTCCTTCTACTTGTCCACTGTCTTTTAGGTTTACAGCTGCATTATGGATTTTTTAAGCTTCCAAAATGACAACGCACATTTACCAAGCTCCTTTCATATGTCAGGATCTTAATATAATACATCTCATATGTGCCTTGTGACAGAAGGTATATATTATATCCCAAACACTGATGGGAAAACAAACCTTAACTTAACCAACTTATAGTCAAACAAATGGTTAAGTGGTAAGAACTAGGACTCTAAGCAACTGTGATACTAACCATTTCACATGGTTTCCTAGAGAGGTGTTTCCCAAAGTATATTTCAAGAAATCACTTATCTTGAATGCCTGCTAAAAATGCAGAAAGGGCTACCACTCTGCACTTGCTATACAGGAATCTCTAAGGGTGGGTACAAGAAACCAAATTTTAGCAAGCATTCAAAGTGATTTTGATACTAAGATGTGAAAAACCACTGTCCTAGACAGAATACATGATTTATGAAGTCACATAAAGAAAATAAGTATTATCTTACATTTCTTCCTATAACTTGGGTCAAACTTTCTCAGCTTCCTTTATGGGCTCCTC